TTTTGTTTTTCAACAGACATATATGTGAATTAGCGAGTGTGAAAAAATGTTTAGAGAGAATATAGCTTGAGGTGCTAGAGGAAGAAGATAGTTGAATATGTATGAATTATCGATTTTGATATTTTCAACGTATACCGAGTAACGTTAATGTTTATTAACGCACTATCGTCGGGAATACCTTTTCCGCAAACTGGCGCCAATCGTCGGTCCCAAAAATGCCTCGCAATCCAGAAATAAGGGTTTCCTGAGGTCATTTGAAGCAACTTTTTCCTTAGCGAAAATGCAATCCGCAGCTTCGGTTACGAGTTATCAACGAAAAACACTGACCAATAAGAGGCGAGCTTGGCTGACGCAAGGGGGGCGAGCAGCCTAGCCTAGTTCCGCTCATTGGCTCAACCGTCTCGCGCCAGCTAATCTAGCCTCTTATTGGTGACTGTTTTTCGTTAATAACTCGTAAACAAAGCTGCGAATTGCATTTTCGCCAAGGAAAAAATTACTTCAAATGCCCACCCTATTTCTGGATTACGAGACAGTTCTGGAACACTCTGTATATTTGAAATAATCCCCCTTCGAAAGTCTAAAAATACTCGTTATATACTTGTTACCAAAATCTTGTCGTTAGCTATGAAAATATTAAATATTTTTTAAAAAATGGATCTTTAGAAATTTCACTGATTTTCGCCCGTTAAGCGTGCGAATCCAGGTCGATCCGCAGATACTATGTCAATTAAATATTCACAGTGCATTGTTATTTGGTTCAAATCATTAGGAATCCCACATTAAGTAATTTCCAGTATACGTTTACAGTCATTTACGACCAGGGAACACAAAAAGATAGCTAGCATAGATGATGAAACTCTAACGACAGCTGAAGCTTGCAGTCGTAAAACGTGGAACTCATGCGGCACGAATCATTTACGCAATAAGTCTCTAATATTCACGGACATCACGTTGAATCTGTCACGCAAGAGCGTGTTCGATATGTGTGTATACGTGGAAATTAATGTACCGGTAAAAACCATATACGAATCGAAAGTTGCAGCTGGAATACTATTACAGCAGCCACGTAATAATAGATCTAATTTTTTCCATTTCCGATTACGGCTCTGTATATCGTTGAAAAATCTGTGTAAATAAATCTTCAACATTCTTTAACTCGTTTCATACTTTATCGTTACAATTCATTTTTGAATCGCCATGCTGGAACTTAGATTTGTTTTGAAATTTTGGGCGAATTATGTTTGCAGTTTTTTCCCAACAAAATTGCAGAATTGCTGTACCGACGATATGAAAAATAATATACGACATCTTCTTTAACTGTTGAAATGAACTACTAGAATTATAAAATTAATTAACGAACGTGATTGACAATGAATCGCTTTTACTATTGTAAATAGAAAAAGTTGTTTTATTTAGTTCTTTACGATATTTTTAATCTTCTCACGCCGCAAAAACATATCAATGTTTCCATTAATATTGAATTTTTACATAGTAACTACTATATTGTTGTATTCAGTTGTGTGTAGAATTACAATTTAATTACTCAAGAAATTATAATTACGAAGTAATTAAACTACATTATGATTCGATCACGTTGTAATTAGTAATTCAGGTTTTTATTCAATTCAATTCCAATGTAATTCGTTATTGTAACTGGGGTANCAAAAACATATCAATGTTTCCATTAATATTGAATTTTTACATAGTAACTACTATATTGTTGTATTCAGTTGTGTGTAGAATTACAATTTAATTACTCAAGAAATTATAATTACGAAGTAATTAAACTACATTATGATTCGATCACGTTGTAATTAGTAATTCAGGTTTTTATTCAATTCAATTCCAATGTAATTCGTTATTGTAACTGGGGTA